TGTGTCCGTGTGTCCGTACAGCTCCGCAGGTCGGCAGCGCCATGCGGCCATCGCCGTATTGAGGACACCAGGTATCGGGTGGGTTCCTCTGCTCAGTGGATGCGGGGTTGGGCACAGGGACATCATCCCTGGAAGGGCTCTGTCCTCTCCTGCCTGGGGTCTGACACAGCCCCGCGCCGGCACCGAGCTGGCCCTGGCCGGGTACTTTTCCTTTGGATCCAACCAGCTGTGTTTCCATGCTGCATTCAGGACAAAAAGTAAGAAATCTACTTGTTGGGGTTTGTTTTGTTTTGTTTTTTTCCTGTGAGAAACTGAAGGATCCAAGATAAGTAATGAACTGGGAAAGCAGTCGGACGGTTATTCCAACGCAGCGTTCGGGTGTCACATTATTTGAGTGCACGACTGTGACCAGGTTCAGGCTCCACACGGATTTTTCCCCGTTAAAGCATTTCCTTTCAGTCCAACATCCTCCTGTAGTGCAGAGTGAATCCAGAGGGCTCGACCGTTCCTCTGCCCTCACCTTGTGCTTTCCTTAGGGCTAAAGAATGAAGATTTTGATTTTTGGCTGTAATTTGGTTTATTCCCTGGATTGGTGTCAGTCACCCCAATGACACTGAAATAATGTGGATTTAGGAAAGAGTTATTTTACACCTGGATCTTGCAGGACTCAAATTCAAGTGTTTAAAAATATTCAAGAAATATTTTAAATTTTTTTAATGACTTTAAATTATTGTGGAGTGGGGATTGGTTTGGGTTTTTCATTTGGGGACTTGCTGGGGTTGACGCTCTTGGTTTGACCTTCTGAGTCTCAGCCTTTTGCCTCTGGGCCGTGCATGCGCTTCGCTGTGGTGGGAGGGTGGAAATAGGGTCTCTTTTAAAGGAACGTTGAGATTTTTAGGTGATTACCCCGATGGGAATTGGGAGACACAAAGCACGAGCGTGGCGGGTGGCGTTTGGTGGCCGTGTAGGGGTCTCGGGTGGCAAACCTGGGGCACAGTGCAGGTACCACACTGGAAACCGGGGCAGGAAAAACATCCCCAGCACCTCCAAAGTACAAGTTTCTCTTTTTTTCAGAGAATTATCCCCGTGGGTTTCCCGTATCCATACGTACGTGTGCGCGCGTTTCCCGTTGCGTGTGCGCGTCTTCAGGGGGAGAATTGCAGCAAACACAAGCCAGCACTGTTAATGCACGGGCTGCGTTTCTCCTTGAAGGATCTGGAGATGCTTTACCAGCATTAACGAGACCTTGACGTGTCCCATCAGGACACTGGGATCCTCTTTACTTCTCCTTCCCTGGGCAAACAGCCTCCTGGGGCAGGATGGGGCTGTTCTGAGAGGCTGGGGTGGCAGTTGGGGAAGGACATACGCTCAAGTGACCTTGTGTCCTTCTGAAAGAGGTTTCAGAATAATAATAATGAGTTTCCATCATGGGAAGAAGCAAATACCGGGCGCTTCCCCCCGTTCCAGGAGAGATTAACCCTTTGTTGCCTTCCCCCCACAGCGAGGACCCGTGGCGGGCAGCGAAGATGATCAAGGGGTACATGCAGCAGCACAACATCCCGCAGCGAGAGGTGGTGGATGTCACCGGCCTCAACCAGTCACACCTCTCCCAGCACCTCAACAAGGGCACCCCCATGAAGACGCAGAAGAGAGCTGCCCTCTACACGTGGTACGTCCGCAAGCAGCGGGAGATCCTCCGGCGTAAGTACCTGCACCAGCGCTCGGGGGGCTGGCGGGGGGGAAAGGGGGTCCCCACATCCCCATCCTGCCTGTGGGTACCCGGCACACCCGGAGCTGAGCCCGGAGCAGCTCCCTGTGCCCGCTGTGTCTGCCCAGGGATCACCCCTGGCTTTGCCTCTGGACCCAGCTGCTTAGCATCTTCCCCAAAATATTTTTAGAATTAAAATGAATTTAAGGTGAAGGAAAATGGGGCGAGAGCCCCACTTGGTCACAGTGATGCTGTGTGAGTTCCTCCAAGCCCATCCACACAGCCGAGTTTCTGTGTATTTATATTCGTTAGAGGTGGGAAAACAATTAGTGATTGCACACAGCTAGGTGCCTTTCCTACCTCTGCCCCTATTTCCTCTCTGTTTCTCGAGGCTGCTCATTTTCTGCAACTACTTGCAAAAAAAGTAGAGAAAGAAAAAATAAAAACCTGTAAATTGCTCCTACCTGTCACATGGTCTCAGGCAGTCTGTGCTGTTTAAAATACAGATTATTTTTGACCAGTTACACAGACTGTTGTTTTTGTGCCCCTCTCCCACCCAGCCCTGTTCCCAGGTTGGTCCCGTATCACTCGTAGCAGCCCCATTTTCGGCCAAGGTGCAGGTTGGGGCACTGACACCCCCTGAAAAGGGCTCTGCCTCCCTCCTCCTGAAGGATGCAACATCCAGGGGATGGGAAGCAGCAGAAAAGGCTTTAGCATCAAATACCATTGCTTTGAAAACACACCTTGAGATGTTAGAGCAAACAGAGCCTGCTCCAGCCTTGCCCTGCACTTCCCCCCTCGTCACGGGGGGAAAAGCCATTATAAAACCAGGGAGAATTCCCCAGCAAAACTGGGCATCATAAAACCCTCCCATTAATCTCCCTTTACTGCCGCGGTGACAAGCGCCGGGTCTGAGGCGAGGTGCCGGTTGGAAGGTCACCTCTGGTGCCTGCCCGCCCCGAGCGTGTGGCCGGTGTCCCACTGCACTGGGACAGGAGCAGGAGCTGAGGGCGAGGCACCTTCTCAGGGGGCTTTGCAGTTGTCCTGCCTGGCTCCTGCCTGGCAAAAATCCTCCTGAAACAAGAGCGCGCCGGCAGAGACCCGACCCATGAATATGGATGCCCTGAGCGTGTTTTCTCATTAAACACCCATCCTGGAGGGATGACAATAAGTCCCCTGCCAGTGTGCGAGGCTCGTCCCTTCCCTGGGTGGGTGACAGGGAGCACCCACCTTGCTCCAAAGGGTGCTGGGGCCATGGGGTGCTGCAGGAGGGGATGTGGGATGGTGACTCCGAGCAGCGGCTATAGGCCAGCTCACGTCTGCTCCTTTCTCTTTCAGAATTCAACCAGACAGTCCAGGGTTGTGGAAATATGACAGACAAAAGCAGTCAGGATCAGCTGCTGTTTCTCTTTCCAGAGTTCAATCAGCAGAACCAAGGGGCTGCCCAGCTCGATGACGCCTGCTCCGAAACTCCCAGCAAGAAGATGCGTCGCAATCGGTTCAAGTGGGGGCCGGCCTCCCAGCAAATCTTGTACCAAGCCTACGACCGCCAAACGAACCCCAGCAAGGAGGAGCGCGAGGCTCTGGGGGA